ATAACTGTACGTAAAAAAACATAGAAAACCTATGATCAGTAAACATTACTAAACTTTTCTTAAGCACAGAAAATTTTCTAGATGTAAATTTTAGATCATTATAAAGTATGAATCTGAAATTCAGCCAAACATTTATTAGCTTTCTTGCTTCTATCCATTCATCATTATAAATCCCACAACCCTTAACTTTTGGCAACCAATTTAATTGTGATTTAAAGTCATGAGTGCAAGCCAATGGAAATGATTAAACAATTAAGATCTTATTCAATGACCCCCATTCTTCAAAAAAAAAAAACTTAACAATTATCTAACAGATATTAGCCCTCTAAAACACTTAAAACTGCAAGGGACCATTTGAAAACATATCCCATGATGCCTCAAGTAAAAAACTTTCTGAGCTATGTGCCTATAGTTAACCATGATGGTCATAATGATAATCTAACTTACCCCCAACATCAATACTGCATATGGTGAAAGTAAATCCTTTAGTTTTCTAATCACCTAGGCCTATATTGTACATTCACAGGACCTCTTACCATGTAGCACTTAGCACATTTTAGACATCTGTCAATAGCAGAAGCTGTTAGAAAACAGTCCTGATAGCTAAGTTGGTATTACAATTATGTTAAATCCAAAATTTGAGCCACAAGCAAAGTAAATTATTTTAAATACTAATTCAATCCCAAGTATGAAAATCTGGATAATGTAATATTCTTAAATAAAGAGTTACATACAGATAAGTCACAACTGCAACAACTAGAGAAATGCTATTGTCTAGCTGGCAGTGAACCACTGATGTTTGAAGGATAAAGATTGAATCATTTCATTGTAGAAATTTATGTGCATTGGAGATGAATTTTAAGATGTACAAACAAAAACATTTTTTACATCAACACAGTTGAACTTGAAATAATACTGTTTACTTGACTAACTATTTTGTATCAGTTGACGCAACAGTAGATGAACTGGGCTTTACTTCAAGAAGAAGATATGATGTGAAGACCAGGACTAGACCAATTCAACTACAAAGATTCAAACACCCACATGTCCAGTCAGAGAATTCAATGCTTCTCTAACCAATCAAACACAAGATTACGAAATGACACACTCTGTATTCTCATGGAAAAGTCAAGCTAGCAACAGATAAAGATCACCTTCCACTAATTTCAAGTCCAACAATTTCTTAAGAACAAGGAGAAATGTTCTAATATTAACATATGGGTTTACAGTGGTCAAGACAGAACTGTTATGGAAAACTAAAGTTTGGAATTATTAGATCATTTTCAATATTGTAGAAGTTGTAGAAAAGCTAGCAGTTACGATAGTTTCCTTCCCGTGAACTCAGTTACTCAGAACTACTTTCTGATAAATATCTTGTCTGAATCTTCTGTTATTCTACAAAAAATCTTGTCATTTAAGGGAAATCACTTCAACCTGAAGATACAACAATAAGAATAAACTTATATTCTGAGAATTATTATTATTATATCACATGGGAGAGGAAATTATAATGTATAAAAATCTAAACTCAGATGCCAAACCTTCTACATTTAATGATGCTTCATGAAGTGGAATATATTTCACAAAGGATACTTAAGAGATGAAACAAAACAACACTTATCCTTTGACTTCAAGACATCTAATTCCTTACTTGTTCTCTGTCATCAGCCACATCATTCAACTGGTCATCAGGATCAAGTATGCCACCATCACTGGAAAGTTTGAGGTTGTGAATGGTTATCCAGGCATCTGGTGGCTTAAAAAATAAAGATTTAAAAGAAGCTAAGAAATGATGAAGAAACAGCTACAATTACAGTGCAAAGCTTATATTTTTAATACATTATTTTAAAGTAGTCTTAATTTTATCAAGATTAATTCCTGATAGTCCAGCTGTAAGTAATACAATATTGATTACAATCTGTAGATACATTGGCTGTATATGCCTATACAAATTTATTTTGATCCTCTTTTACTTATATTCAGCTGATAGGATGTTAAAACAATGGGCTTTCAATTAGTTCATTTTAAGATTGACAGGTATTAAGATTAGTTTGCTGTCTTAGTCAATTATTTCTAAAACTCAACAAAACAAACCAATGGCCAATCTTTCAATGCATTATTACCAAATATTACAACACAATATACACTTTCAAAAACATAATAAACAGCCACTACATAATATTGCATTTACAAAAGCGTAAAATGCATGAACAAATAGTGTTAAGATATATGAAATAATAAATAATTACCTCTACATGTATTATTCCTGATTTATTTGTCTGGAAGCTCTGGGTAGGGAAATTCTTTTCAATAAAACAGAAATTTCAAAGACAAGAAGATACATACCATTCTAAGCATTACATTTAACAACAACAAAAAAAAGTTAATTAGATGTAAGGTCAAAAGTTTTTGGTCAAAGCAGATAGGTTTAAACTGTAGAAGCATTTATATTTTGTAAACTATAGCATGAAATTGTTTCATCTTAGCACTTTATGTTTTGTTATTTTTATGAATCTTTTGTGAGCTTGATTATCAAACCACGTGTTTGTTCAAGAATGTGCAGGGAAGGCAGCCAACAATCTGACTTAAATAATGAAAAAAAAGGTTTAAATAATCATTTTCAAAATTACAATTTATATTGTCTCATGGTATCAAACCATGACCACCCTGTCAGTATTACCCAAAACAGGTCATAACTGTTAGTTGTACCATAAACAGCTGTAAAATTTATGGTTAGTAATGTTCACATTACCTTTTCTTTATAAAAAAAAAATCAAGTTTAAAGCTTCAGCATTTAAGTTAGTTCTTCTAATTAAAAGTAAAAAACACTGGTGGTCTTCAAAGTTGCAAGATTTGTAATGTTTTGACCATTACAACACACAGATTTCTAGCTTCGGGCTCTAATTTAGTAATTAAAAAAAAAGAGAATATAATGTGAACACACATAGATTAACTTAACAAAATAGTAGTTTCAATATAACTTATCGGGTAAAACTTGCCAAATCTCAACAATATTTTCACTTTTACTCTAAAATGTATTTTTTCCCACTTACCTCATTTCATTCTTTCTTCGATCATGTGATATGTTTTATTTCCTCCCTAGCTTTCCAATTTAAATTTAAAAAAACAAACTATTGTCAGAGTTTATAATTATTGTAAATAAAAAGCCATAAAGTAAGTAGAAAATGTGTACAAATTTTTCATAAGGCACAGTTCTTTTCAAATAAAGAAACAAGAAGTTTATTTCGCTCCTAGCTTTCAGAGTGATACATTCTTGTACGCTGTATCTGGATTTACATACAGTCTAAAAGAATCAACAGGAGTTACCCATTGAAAATCCTATTGCTTTTTCTAAGCTGTCTCCCAGTGGGTCAGCACTAATATTTACAGACCTACAAGTCTTAAGTCTGGGGTTAGAATCCTCATGGTAGACACAGCAGATAGCCCAATATGGCTTTGCTCTAAAACACAACATCGACCTTAAGCTGTATTGCTAAAAAATATTTGGTCACAATAATTAAATGAATCCTTCTTTTGCAAAACACGGCTTTGCTCTGTTACTTTAAACTTTCAAATTTTTAAATTTTAATGCAGTGGATTTTTCAATTGTTCGTTTTATTTCGAGCAAATTTTTCCAAAGGCTATCTATCTGCATTAACCATCCTTAATTTTGAAGTGACAGACATGAGAGAAGGCAGCTAGCCAACAATACCCATGGCCAACTTATAATGTTCCCACTGTTTACACATGGTGCCATGTTCTTTTCTTTTTAATTTCACTGAAACTGTACCGTAGTTTGAACAAAAAAACGAACAATTATGGCTTATAATAGAATGACTTATAAAAAAAATTATATGATTCGAGTAGTGTTATTTTGAAATTCTATTAACGATACTGATACAAAACGGCAATATACAAACTCAAAATTTTTGAAACTGAAACTGCCACGTTTCGAAACTAAAGCGTCATGTTTAAAACTACAGTGTGATTTAATACGTAAAAGTATTCTGAAAAAATAAAATGGTTTATTTGACAATTGGAATTAATTTTAAAAATAATATAAGCAGTCACTGTATGGCGCTAGCATAGGTTTGCATATTCTCGAAATTTGAGGTGTGAACAAGCACAGTCCCTTTAGTGAATATGTAATAATAATAGTAATAAAAATACTGTTAAATATATATGTACAGATGCCATATAGTGATCTCAAAATAAAGTGAACAAAAGTTCAACTTTATATATAAAGCTACAAAATGTGATATTAGAAACCCATACAAAAAAAACTTTAACATAACACACATCCACATCAGTAAGAAATGTCGACTAAAGAAAACATGGTACTTTACTTTAGAAATAACATTCGATAAATAAGAAAATAATAATAATATACTGTGTAGATAAAAACGAAAAAGTTTTATTCATTTAACATGACATGCCAGAAATGTGATATCCAAGTCATAGACTTCGCAACAGAGACAAAAAAAAAAATCGATAAATTTAAATTTTAACCATCAACTTCAAAAACAAAAATAATAATTACAATTTTCAACATAATAGTTCCACAACAGTCCGTTTAAAGATCAGGCAATATCTATTTCCCTGAAACAATATCTTGATTTTGGTTAAAATGTTGTTCTCGAAGACATTTTTAATTGACTAAGCAACAGATAAAAAATTAACTCGAGTAGCAATACCCCTTGGAAATCAGAATGAGAAATTTCATTTGTTTGTTTGTTGAGTTATCTATGCTCTGCCCATTGCAGTTATTGAAATCTGGTCTATTGTTCGCATTAGAAGTCCTCGGATTTGCAGCTTATATACATATTGCAAATTCTACTGAGCATATAGGCACCATCAAGCAGCTGAGGATCTCCGCCATGGTGGTCTCACGAATAATCTCTCTAGCTCTTGCAATAACTTTACAAGTATGTATGTGCCAGGTCTTCTCGGAACTGAAGCACCTCCCCCTTAAGCTGTGTTGGTAATCTCTACGCTTTAACAGATGGTCTTCTTCGCAATTATAAAGTTTCCAAGCCTCAGTCTTGGCTGCCTGATCCTGACAATGATGGCTCTTTGAAATTACTATCCGTTTTTGTATGAATTGCTACTTTACCTCGGTCGGTGGCTTTATGGAAAGTTCTACCCTCTCGGCCTTCACATGGTGCTGTGGTAGTCATTGTGGTCACTACAGAAACTGAAATTGAAGTATTCACATTGTTGGTTACATTCAAAGGATTGCCCCTAGGGTCTGTGTAAGTTTTGGAACTGAATCTAACTCTTAATTCTTTCTTTGTTCCAAGGGGCAACGGATCGGGTGTAGGAAGTCTCAGTTGAGACAACTGGCACATTAGGTTTCATGGATTCAGCTGAGCTCATACTCCCTGGCTTCATAGTCAGTACACCCAGTGGTGAGATGACTTGTGGTTTGGTAAGATGCTGTGGAGTTCAGAGGGATAACACTATCATTGCACTCTCCAGAGTCTGCATGTCAGATGCATAGTCCAGCAATACATCCTCTTCAGTTGGCTCTGATGACATAAACGTTAGATCATCCCCAGGCATGGAAGGCAAAACCAGAAACTCTGCAGTATCACTGAAATCAAACAAAGTTTTAACCACTGGATTCCATGATTCCTTGTCAGAATTTGGGTTTCAGTTGTAACAAGAGTCAAGTACATCAACTCGCAGGTTGAAATGTCAAGATAGCCAGAAGGTTTTCGAGTTTGAAGTTAAATAGGAAAATCCAGGATTTGAAATAAAAGATCCAAAAGAGTTCGAACTGGTCAGAGAAACCTCAGTGAAGAGTGTGGGTTAAAGCTGTAATGACCAAGTTAGCAAAAATACTTTGCCCTGGAAAGTCTCAGGATTGAAGTGTAAAAACTAAAACTAAACCGTTGGTTAAGCTCCGTGTCTACCACCTGTGAACAGCAAGGTCGGTGCAGGTATATTTAAATTGGTTGTGGTCTCTGAGGTCGTCACGGCTGTGACGATAGTCCAAAGCTATCCTGTAACCCCGTTGCATTACTTCCATCATTGTCTGGTTTTCATACCAACAGAACCTGGGTCTGGTAAGAAAGAAATGGGGACAAGAGGGCAATGTGGTTAGCCCAAAAGTGACTTAAATTGACCTAGTTACTCCAACCATTGAAATTGATGACACTAACATCTAGTTTCTGTCACTATTTTCTTTAGATACATGTTAAGAACAGAGGAAAATTTCTGCATCTCTCATGTAAGTGTTACTCTGCACCTTCTGTACTTGTACACAGTATGGATTTTAATGCACTTTGACTGGCTTTGTATTGTAAGAATGCTTAGAAATTATATATAAAACCGAGTATTTTGGGAATATTTCAACCTGTTGTTCGAAAATATTGCATCATAGTGAAACAAAACCTGGGTACATCAAACTTGCATGTTATGCCAGTTACACTGTTTGTGACTTTCGCTTTCCACAGATAGTTTCACCTCACTCATATTTCAGCCTGTCAACAGAAATGCTGCCGGCAAACATTCACAAGACACAGGCCACATATCAAATTGTGTTTTTCCTGCAAGTGTTGTTTGAGCCCTCTTATTCTAGCAGCTATTTTTAAAAACCCAATACTTGCTGAATGTTTCAAACTAAAACATTCGCAAATATATTAATGAAAAATAACAGCTCAAATAATGCCTTACATGCCAATGCACACAGTTAACTTCACAACTCTATCTAATTCTTAGATCAAACTCTGGCATTCTCACTCCAATCTTTAC